AAAAGTATATAAATTTAAAGCTGTTAAGCAGGTAAAGTGCATGGAACAGGGACAAACCAGGACACTGTAGGAAGACAGAAAAAATTACCATCTATCACCCAGTGATTAAAGGCAAGTGTGCTACAAGGTTACCTGATGGAAAAGCTGTATTGAGACCCCTCACAGGCTGCTACTGAGAGAGGGAGGAGTGAAACGAAGATCTATCAAACCAACAGCAGAACCTCCTGAGGCTCTCTGCTTCCATCAGAAGCCATGGACAAGAATGGGCAAGGACAAACAACTCAGTATCACCAAAACAAAAGTGACAGCAAGAAGACTGAGTGGACCAGCAAACGGGACAAAGAGTAGAACAGGCGGAGATTGTCTGTGTCAGTAAAGAACAGACACTGCCCACCCAGGACCAGACCACGGACTTTTGATACGTGTGGGAAAGAAACATCCAGACTTCCTGAGGAAGGGAGGCTGCTGAAGATAGGGTGAAAGTAAAGGCAAGCACAAGGACACTGCCAGAGATAACACACTTGGCTAGGGAGGTTGATGGAAAAGCCTGGATTACTACAACACATGATAAACGATGATAAAAGGGAATTCTACATTTCTGGGTGCTCCCACTCATTTGACCACATAAAAACTAGCAAACTTTCCAGGAAGCTGAGACACCACTTTTCTTAGTGCATCATTAACATTGCAATTTGTAGTACAAAGGCTAAGACATCAACAGAAAACAGAGAGGCATGCAAGCAGAATGGGAACACAGTTTCAGTGTTTAGGGCAGACACCATTTCAGCCTTTCCAGTTAACCCTCAGCACCAGCTCAGCTCCTACTCTGATCAGATCACTTGGAAAACATCACAGAGCCACACAACTCAACACAGAGCCATCTTGCCTCAAGAGTAGCACATTCCAAACCTGATTCCCCTCTTTGAAGCTAAGTCCAAAGTCAATGAGCTTAAAGCATTCCTCTTCTGCACTCCATAGGATGTTGCGTGGCTTGAGGTCTGCGTGCACATAGCCTTTGTGGTGCAGGAAAGCCAGGGCTTCCAGGACATCTCTGGCACAGTGCTGGATCATCCACATGGAGCAGCCCTGGTTGCTGGAGTGCAGCAGCAGCTCGGACACGCTGATGTCCAGCAGCTCCAGCAGCAGACAGCGAGATGGGCCATTGGCAGAGTAGTGGTTGGTGAACACGCCATAAAGTGTCACTACAACGAGACACAGGGACGGGCATCGGTAACGAGCATGCAGCCAGAACCTTCCACTGCTCCACACCACAAAAGCTGTGGCAGGCAGCTCAGATGTTTTGGCACAGGTGATGTTCAGAGAGATGGAGAACCAGGCAGGAAGGAAGAAGCAAGGGAAAAGCAGCCATGTCACCCCTACAAGCTTCAGAGGACAGGCTGGTCTCACAACACTCCCCAGGCTCTGCTAAAGTGACAGGGCTGAGTACTCCTGCTCAGAAGGACAACCTCTGGGACATGGATAAGCACATCCCAGTGGACAAACTGGACATGGTGCCGCTCTTTAGAGACATGTCAATCTCACCCCATGACAGACAAACTTTGCAGAGTGGGAACCCCTGTGCTGTCTGGGTTCCCAGGCACACTACGGCATTAAAAAGCATTTCACAAAGCATTTCACAGCTGACAAAAAATATCAGTAGTGGGTGAACTTTGGCACTTCCAGGAATTGCCTCTGACACACAGGCTTCCCCTGTTCCCTGGCTCATTCCTACCCATGAAGGCAGCCCTGGAGCTGTAGCACAGTAGGAACACACTGTCCCACGGCTGTCCCGCAGAGAATCCAGTCCTTACTGGGGCTGTGGCACCCTGCCCAAAGGAGGACTCCGGGGTGCCCTGCCTGCAGGGACCCGCTCTGCCTATCCCTCCTGCCCACCCTGGGGATGTCACCTGCAGAGCCGCCACCCAGGGAAGGGGTGGGGTACCCAGGAGCACCCACTGCAGGGAAGCTGCTTCGGGGCGTCCAGGCTAGAGGCCCTCAAATCTGCCCATCCAGAGGTGCCAATCCGAGGGGCACGTTGGCCTGGGTTTGCGTTTTGGAGCGAGGCTGTCTGTATTCCCAAAGCAGTTGGGAGTTCCCTTCCCTGGCTGGGAGGGCGGGCGGTCTGGAGACACCAGTTTGGCAGGGGGAGACTGCCCTGGGGGTGCTCTAGGAACAGAGGTGCCCGAGCAGGGGTGTCTGGGGATGGGCGCCGGGGACAGGGGTGCCGAGGCTGCGGAGCCGGGGTGCCCTTACCGATGTTGCGGTGCCCGCGGAGCTGCTCGAGCGCGGCGCGCTCCTTGCGGAACCCGTACTCGGCGCAGTCGGCGGCGGGCGGGCGGGCGCCGGGGCGGCGAGCGGACCCGGGCCGCGGCCCCGGGGGCGGCACGAACTCCTTGACGGCGCCGGGGGGAGCCCGGGGGTCCCCGCAGCAGCGCACCCGGTACACCGAGGCCGAGGAGCCGCTGCCCAGCGGCGCCTGCACCTCCCACAGCCGGCCCAGCACCTCCAGCAGCGGCGGCGCCGCGCCCCACGCGCACCCCGACATGCCGCCGTCCCGTTTCACATCGTCGTCCCGCCGCCGCCCCGCCGCTGCCCCGGCCCCGGCCCCGGCCTGCGCCGCGCTCCGGCCGCCATGACACCGGAAACAGGGCGGCACGGCGGCGGCACCGCCCCCGGCGGGGCGGGGCGGGGCGCGGGCGGGGCCCTCCGCGGCCCGCGGGCCTGCGCACCCCGCGGGCCTGCGCACCCCGCGGCCCTGCGCACCCCGCGGCCCTCCGCGGCCCGCGGCCCTGCGCACCCCGCGGGCCTGCGCACCCCGCGGGCCTGAGCACCCCGCGGGCCTGAGCACCCCGCGGCCCTCCGCGGCCCGCGGCCCTGCGCACCCCGCGGGCCTGAGCACCCCGCGGGCCTGCGCACCCCGCGGCCCTGCGCACCCCGCGGCCCTGCGCACCCCGCGGGCCTGCGCACCCCGCGGGCCTGCGCACCCCGCGGCCCTGCGCACCCCGCGGCCCTGAGCACCCCGCGGGCCTGAGCACCCCGCGGGCCTGCGCACCCCGCGGTCCGACTCCCCCAGCCCCGGTGCGGCCGGCTCCCTCCGCAATCCTCGGCCCGGACATCCACCAGGGCTTCGTCGGGGTCCCGTCTCCGCAGTACCCCCGAGGCCCCGTCCCTCAGCCCGGACACCGGCGGGCTCCCATCACTGCAGCACCCCGGGATCCGATCCCCTGTGCCTGGGCACAGGCGGGCTCCAGCGCCCTCAGCCCAGCCACAACCCAGTGGTGCCAAGCACAGCAGGGCGGGCACGTTCTCCACCCCAGTCTGGACACCACCAAACTCCCCCTCCGCCCCCTGGCTCCCCTCCAGGACGGCGCCAGGGTCGTGCAGGGTGTCCTCTCCCATCAAGGGAATGCCACACATCAGTGGGTACAAAAGGAAAAAAAAATTTATTGTGCAATCTGCATCTCTTGTCCCAAACCACACATATGCACCCCGACAACATAAATAGAGGGACTGGACCAGCTGTGAGTGACAACCCTCAAGGGGAAGGTTCCCTTGGGATCACAGCAATTAAGATGCTGGTTCTTCAGAGAGGGGCTACAAGTCCTGGTTTCCATCAACATCTACACTGCAGTGCAGACCCGGGCAGCACACCCCCCCCCCCGTATCTGAGGGTGGAGGTTGCCACGCACAGCATGATCACATTGGTACAGGGTGTGTGACACCTCAGCAGTGAACATGAGCTCTGTGCTACTCTGCATCCTTTCACTCTTGAGCAGGCCTTTCCCAGAGTGGAGAGCTGCAGGGGCCCACCATAGCATCACCACATCAACGGCAAGGACATGAGTGGTTGCACCCAGGGCAATCGGATCCATGCTCACAGCTTCCTTCCTTCACTGGGATAGCGTGGCTTTGGGTGGAGGAAGACATTTCTTCAGCCCAAACACCCTGTGTGGCCCAGGAGGAGCTGTGAGCAGGCCCATCCATGAGCTCCTGGGTTCCTCCAACCCAGCCTGGGGCTTTGGAGCTATTCCTCTGAAAACCACCTTTGTGGTGAGGATGTACATAAAAGCTCTAAGCAAAAAGTTCCATCTCACAGCTGCTACCTTGCATTGGCATAGATGTCACCAGGCTGGTTAACCCCTCCTGTAATCCATGGCAAAACATCATACAGCAGTATCAGAGGACCACATGGCTTTGTGTGTCCCAGTCTCGCAGAGACCACTGCCCCAGGAAATAAAGGGCAGCAGTGACACTGACTCACATGGAAAGGGCTGCCTGCCTGGACAGTTGTCCATGGTGGCTGGGACGAGAGCAGGAAACAAGCAGGAGCTGGAAGCAGGTCTCACAGAGAGCTCAGCTCCCTGCCAGAGCCCACTGGCCAGCAGCTGTGCAGTCTCAGGTGCCCAGCCCTGTGCCCTGATAAGAGCCCAGGGCTCCAGAGCAAGGAGATGGCACTCACCAGAGTAACACCACCAGGTCAGCACCTGCAGAAGGGCCTGGACACATCTGCTGTCCTGGCTCACTGGCACTAGAGGCAGGGTGAGCCTGCTGATACCCCAGGATGGGGTATCTCAGCAAGCACATAGTGTAAGCTGGGAAATCCTCTGGACCAAGGCAGCCAGTGCAGACATGGGAAAGAGTGTAGTGCTTGTGGGATGCTCACAGGATGCTCGCTCCAGCAGAGCAAATGCGGTTTGGGGCAGGCTGGCACTTCAACCCCCATGCACCCTCTTGGCTCTCAATTCAGCAAGGCTCCTGGCTGCAGACAGGGTGGCAGTGGCACCATAGCAGGACAGGAGCTTGGCACTGACCAGGGTGAACAGGGGCCAGAATGGGGCTGCAGAAGCCATGGCAGGACAGGCTGTGCCCTCCTGGGAATTTGGCAAGAAGCAGGTTGTCATGGCTCCCCAGAGCCCACACCAGGAAGCGATGGCTCATTCTACTCCAAGGCTTCCCCCTTTCCAAAATAATCACCCCAAAAAAGGCAAGTGGCAGTGAGAGACAAGTCTGGGAGAGCCAGCCCCCAAGGCACCCCTGTCACAGCTACCCACTACTACTCAAAGGACAGTAAGTCGGGATGGGCCCCCTCCACCTCCCAGCCAAGGGTACATGGCTCTGGCCGCCCTGTGCTCCCTGGTGGCTCGTGCTCCAGCCCCAGTCTCCGTGAGGGCTTCTCTGTGCTGGGTGACATCTCAGTGGCCCTCTCATCCACTTGCCACTGGCTCTCCTGGCTGCCCTTATGGATGAGGTCAGGCACAGGTAAGACACTGGTAGGCTGGTCCCCGCTGGGCTCTGGGGCACCCATCACACTGAGTACACCAGGGCAATCTGGAGGAGATGGGTCCCCCATCCCCAGCTGCTCCTCTATGGGCTCAGGGTGAGCTGTAGGTGGTTTGGAAGGCTCATCAGTGTCACTCCTCGTGCTGGTCCCCTCTGGCTGTGGAGCAATGAGCATGTCCTGGGGGGTCTTTAGGGCACGCGGTGTCCGCTTCTTGGTGATGGGGGGCGGTGGTTCCAGCCGGGGAAAGGCATCCAGCCCCACAGCCCTGCAAGCACAGAGGGACAGCTGCATACAGCCCCATGCCGGGCCCCTCCAGCCTGTCCCAATGGCCCTGGCACAGGGTGCACACTGCAAGGACACTCACCCGTCCTCAGTAGCTGGCTGTCCTGTGCCCAGCACAGCGCCCGCACTGGCGTTCACCTCCATGGCTCCCACGGCGGGCAGGCCGGCCGGCTCCCTGCGGCGCAGGAGGTCATTCACCTTGGCGCCCATGGCCTTGCCCAGGTTGCGGAGGTGCTGGCTGCCAACGGGCCGGCAGGGCTGGGGCAGGGTGCCCACCGTGGCAGAGATGTGCTGTGCCCGTGGCGTGGGTGCCGTGCTGGCGCTGGCATTCTCAAACATGCTCTGGTCCACTGGAGGGAACAGAGAGGATGTGAGCACAGGGCATTGTATGCACAGGGGACCAATGTGGGGCAAGAGAGGGTAGCAGTGAGCCAGGGCCCCTGTTGGCACTGCCAACACACCGAGAGCTTCTCTTACCTGGCACCAAGCGACTTGGGAAGCAGGTTGTGGAAAAAGAGAAAGAGAGCAAGTGATCATTTACCAGGGGAATGGCAAGGGAAGAGGCCTGTCCCTTCCACACTTCCAGGTGAGGCATGCTGCCAACGCCCTGCTCTGATATGTCATGCTGCCTGAAGAGATGGGACTCACATGGAGGTCCCTTGTCAGCCACACCCTGATAAAGCCACAGGGCCTTCTCTCGGGCCACCCACAGTGTGGGTTCTGCACTGCCCACCCCACCATGGCTCCCTCAGATCAGCCCAGGCTGGGTCTCTGTGGTGAGTGGCAGCAGGTGCTTGTAGAGGAAAGGGCTCTGCAATCAAACCCCACCTCTGAGCTACACTGGTTTCTCCACCACGTCTTCCCAGCAAGAGTCTTTGAAGCTGTGGGTGCTGCTCCCAGGAGTTCAAACCCACGTGGCTGCCTCCATGTCAGAGTGGGTCTGTGTGATGGCTCCAGCTAGTTTCTGGGTGAGCCTGGTGCTGTTTTGGGGCCTTGCTGCCCAACAGCATCCTCTGCCCAACTCTACCTCTGCATCCCAGAGGCACATACTGGGACACAAGACAACCACCTCCACATCGTAAGGGACAGGCAGAGAGGAAGGGTTCCCAGCACTGCTCCAACCTCATGGTGGACTGGACTCTTACAGGGACACCCAGGTCACTGCAGGCCCTTTCCTCTGCATTTTGTGGCCCCACAGTCCTGCTGAACAGAGCTCCCTGCCTGCACCTGCAGCATATACCAACCCTGGGGTTCATCCTACAGCTATTCATCGGCACCAAGAGAGCCACCCAGCAGTGCCTTGACAGCCTCTCCTCCAGCCTGGACACCAGCTCTCGGGAGTCTGAGCAGCCTGCTAACCTCTTGAAGAGCTCTCTTCTGGCTCCTCAGATGACTTCCAGCCCCTGAGAGGGAGAGGCTAGCCAGCAGCAGAGCTAGCATTATGGTCCACGACAAGCTCACTGCTTCCAAGCGCCAGCCTGTGCTCCAGCATGGCTACCGATACATGTTGTGCTGCCCCATCTTCCCCACACAGTGGCTGCTCAAGACCCAGATCCAGCACAGCTCTCAGGAGGGCTACAGCTGGAGGGGGTTCTACCACGGGCCCGAGGTCCTGGGGGAGCAGGAGATCAAGGCACAGGAGGCTGCAGCTCCCGGGGTGTCCGTGCAGCCCCGGCAGCCAGGCAGCTGCCACGGGAGGGCACTGCTCCATCACTCCTGCCAGCAGCAGAAGGAATTGTTCCAGAAGTCAGCTCCTGCCAGTGTGCTGCTTTTGCCTACTTCTGCCATCCTTTAAGAGAGGCTCTTGTCTATTTTTCCTCTCCACCTGCCAAAAATTTCCCGAGTCCCTGGAAGTGCAGATTAGCATCTCTGTGGGGAGCTCTGCAGATGCCAGGAAGTCCCTGGCACCCTCCAGCTCTTGGATCAACCCCGAGACAAGCAGTGAACTGGCTGAAGGGCAAGACTGAAACACGTCTACTGCCAGCAATATTCTGGGCACCTTGCTCTCGTGGACATGCTGTGGCTAGCACCACAAGCAGGGGTCCCACAGCAGAGGAAGCTTAGGTTGGAGGGGGTCTCCACAAGGCCAGAGGATGCCACTGCTGGTGCTGGCATCCAGCATGGAGTGGGAAGGAATTACAGAAAGAGAGAGTCAGTGAGAAGAAAGAGACAACAGAAAGCGTTGAGAAATAGAAAGATTTATTTAGCAAAAGCCAGTTGACTAATGACAACACCCAAGGGTTAAGTGCACTTACATTGACAGATTTGCTTCCCAGATAGATTGAGTCAACAGTTAGTAATACGACAGTTGTAGGAAAAGAAAGGACAAAAAATATAGCTATAAACCCCCTGTCAAGGTCCATAACAAAAGTGAGAGGCTAGAGAGGAGTCTTGGAGGCAGTGCTGACTTAGGAGGGGTCATTTACACGTGTACACCCATGGTGCAGCATGAGGCGGGCAGGATCCCACCCAGTCCCGGCAGCACCCCCTCAGCCTGTGGGGCACCTGCCCCGGTCCCCTGTGGCAGAGCATGGGGCAGGAGCCTGAGGCCACATCTGGTCCTGCCAGCCCCTCGTGGGACTCAGCCTGAGCTCTGTGTGTGCAGCAGGGATGGACCAGAGCGATGGCTCAGGAGATGGCTCCCCCCACCTGCTTCCTGAGGCAGCCCAGCCTGGAAGAGACCTCTGGCCTGCTCCTCTGGTTGCTCCTCTTAGGCTCTCCCTTCATCTGCCCTGTGTGTACAACTGAGCTCCTGCTGTTCTTTACCCTGAACGATCTCTCTGCCCACATGGAATTCCCTGTCCAAGCTCAACCATCCCTACCCTGTAAGTGCCATGCCTTGTGCGTGCTGTCATCCTACTTTTTCCTCCTAGCTGGACCAACCTTGTACCCCTTGCCTTCACCTTCAACTGCTGCGAGCTGGCAGTGGCATATCGGGTCCCCAGCAGAGGGGCTGGCACACAGCTGTCCCCACAGCCCTGTGGGATGGGGCATTTGGAGGCAGTGATGCCTAGAGGACAGCAGCACCACATACCAAACAGCACCCTCTCCCACTCTGCCTGCTCTGTGGCTGGTTCAGAGCTCCTCTGGACAACCAGGGCACTGCTGGGGACATTGAAACATGTCCTTCTTTCCTTCCCACTAGACCCTCATAGCTCCTGAAGTCCACCCAGTCCTGTCACATGGTGGAGGGTGCATAGCACAGCTCGTGCTGACCCCGGGGGTCTAATCCACATTCTCCTTAGCAGCTCAGTACCAAGGGGACCAGGGCAGAGAGAAGTGATGGACTTTCCTCAGCAGCCAGGCTAAATCCTAGAGGAGAGCAAGAGGTGGTGTCAGCCAGGAGTTAGTTGCAGGCAGATTGAGCAGAGACAGAGCTGGGGAAGGTGAGAGCAACAAGGAAGCAACAAAGCAAAAGAGAAGCAGGATAGGAGGGAGGATGGGGAAGAAGACAACTGTGCCAAATCCCCACCTCATCAAGTCCACATGAAGCAGGGTGGACATCAGAAGTTTGGTTCATACCCCTTCCAATCTCGGCCTCTTAGAGACTCAGCACCAGGCAGGTGATGAAAGTGTTTGCAGAAAAGGAACAAGCTGTGGATCCCTTGGAGGGCCCCACAGATGGCTTTCAGCCATAAGTGTTTCGAGGGCTGGTGGAGAAACCCTGAGATCCTGGATTCACTTTTCCAGAGGGTGCAAACCAGAGGTGTGATGAAGCACGCCTGCAGACACCAGCAGTTCACTCCCCATCGAAGGCTGGAAGTGTGCTCATCCCTGAAGATGCCAATGCCAGCACTGCAGCTCCCAGCCTTAGTCTGGGGCAAAACAAGTGCTTGGAAATGGGAGGGTTTGTCTATAAAGCAAAGCGGGCAGTTCGTGGTGATTGGAAGTGCTTGAAAATGTGCCTTGAGAGCATGAAAAAGACTGAAACCTGGCAGCTGTGCCAAGGAGCCAAATGATTAGATGATGAGGAGAACACCCCACAGCTTGATGCTGCATGCCCTGGCTCCCTGCTCCACACTGTGATGTGACTTCCTCCCTGCTCCACAGCCTGGCAGGGGAGCGGGCTCTGCCCAGAAGCCCTCTACCTGCCTTGGCACAGATAAACCCTTGTCCTGAAAGTACCACGTCTCCCTGCCAACCTCTACCTGCACCTGGCCAACCTGTGCAATCTCATCTCACCACTTCAAATCCTTTCCAGGCTCATCCCCACATCCCCCAATGCCTCACTTCTCACTCACAGACCCACTCTGATAGTGCACTGTCACCAACCCTCATTTAACATGGCCCTGTACTTGTCCCCCACCCTGCCTACCACACAAAGAACCAGACCAGCTGCTCTGTCTTTGCTCACCACCTTGGAGCTGCCCTCTCAATCTCTTGTGTCCCCACTCACTGCCCTAGACTGCTCTCTCATTTCCCCAGCAAAACCCTTCCTCTGCTTTCCCCTGCAGCAGCAGAGGTTCATCCAGAAGAAGTCCCTTACCCCCTGCCTAACCTTAACACACAGTTTGAAGGGAGACGGGGCCAGTGGGGAGCACAAGGAGCTGTCAGCTCTGTCTGCTGCAAAGGAGGGATGCTGCAGCTCGGCACACAAGCCCACGCACGCCGGAGCACAGCACGCCCAGCACACACCCTGGGCTCAGCTCCATCCTCACCTCAGACACTCCCGACTGGGTGCTGGAATCCTCCTGCTCCCTCCTCTGTCCCCTCCCTCTGGGCTGTCCCATCCCTGCCAGGGTCACCACGGGGCTGCGGCCAGGGTCCTTCCCAGCTCCAGCAGGTCCCGGCTGCTCTGCACCACCTCCTGCTGACCCCTACACCGCGATCTCGTCCTCCAGGCTGTCGCCCAGGTCCTGCCTGGGCTGGACGTGGAGCAGGCGCGGCGGCTCCTCCTGGGACCAGGAGTCGCGCTCCTCGCTCTCGTCCGTGTTGGACTCGTACTCAGAGGCGATGCCTGACTCACGGAACTTGATGAGCTCCAGGCTGCCCAGGGCTGGCTCTGGGGCGGGCGGCCCCGAGTCCGGCAGAAAGCGGTAGCACTCCAGCTTCACCAGACAGTCCTTCCTACCTATGGGGCTGCCCATGGCGCTGGGGAAAGCCGAGCTGGGGCCCAGCGGCGGCGGGTGGGTGTCCTCAGGCTGCGGGGTGGTCGGGTCGCAGAGGACGGGGAGGACGTTGGAGCGGAAGGTGATCTCCAGCAGACTGTCCTGGGAGCCTGCTGCAAGAGAAGGGCACAGCTAAGAGGCCCAGCTTGCCTGGGTGTCCCCTGGCCACCATGGCTGGCTGCACACTGGCCAGAGGAGGACATGCTGGGGTCATTTGGGTATCATCCTCTCCACTCTTGCTGTTTTGATGGGTTTATTTGGTGTCACTAATGCCAGGAGCTGCTGCTGGCCAACAAAGGGCCATTTCTCTAGGACAAGCCCAGCTCCTGAAGAGAGCTGATGGCTACATCTGTTGTAGAGGGAGGCCAAACAGGGGCTCTTGGGCGGACATGGAGATGGCCTGGAGCATGCAGCCACTGGGGAATGTGGATACACAGCTGATGGATGCAGGTGACCACTTGTCCATACAGCCCTCCCCAAGCCCCTTCCCACGCTGCATGCAAGCACCCTGCTGCACACACACAAGGCAAGGCAAGCCAAGCCAGAAGGGCACAAATATTCTCTGAACAAAGTAACTGGAAATGCACAAAAAAGCCCAAGAAAAACACCTGCATGCATGTTCCCCACAGTCCTGGCTAGCTGCAAGGGGAGAGGAATGGGCGGCAGTGCTTACTGGTCGTGTTTCCTGCCAGCTTCAGCTCCAGTTCCTGCACCTGTTTGACCAGGAGTGAGATGTGCTGCAGCAAGTCCTTGTTCTGGAGCAGGAGCTGGTGCACACGAGCCTGGGCCTCCAGCCGTGCCGCTGCTTCTGCTGCCAGCTGGTCCTTCAGCAGGTGGACCTGGGCAGGATACAGCAGGTGAGCACGGGCAGATGCTACTTGAGGGTTGAGGGCTTCAACTTTGGCCATCCCTGCTCATCTCCCAGAGCTCACCAGCATCCCAACCCATAGTGTGATGAAGCAGCCATTCCCTGCAGGTACTGCAGATGTGATGGGGAGCGTGTGGGTGGTATCACACCAGGACTCTGCACATTGTCTCCTGGCCTCCCTGATGGAAAAGCTCAAGACTAGGCAGGCAGCACTGGCCAAACTGTCAGCTGCAGATGTGCATGGAAAGGGCAGCCCAGGAGGAGCCAGATGGATGCAGCAGAGAAGACATGCTTG